CCAATATGGATGACCACTTTCACCATTTCAGGTGGCGGAGGCAGCAGCATCTGAGAATGTCCTCAACGTTGAACCTGAGCTAGCGCTTGAGCTTCCGCAGAAGAACATCTGAGTCTGGAACAGAGTCCGTCGATGACCTACTTCACGTCATTCTTGGCGTTTCCACGGTGTTCAGCCTTCACTGCCTGAAAAACACGCGAAACGAACGGAAACCATCAAAGCTGTGACTTGTTAATCAGACGAAGTATGGATGCACGCCAATGCTTTTTTGGATGACTCAATTCCTGACGCTGTTGAGAAGCGCGAGCCAAAAAATTCTTCAACTTCATCTTCAATGACCGCTTCTCCTTTCGGGTCGCAGAGGCAGACACGTCAGAGTGCCTCCAACGTTCCCGTTCTTGTGCCAGAGTCTGAGCTTAGGCAGAAGACAACTGGAGTCTGGAGCAGAATATTTCTATATATTGGCAACAGGTTACTCTTGGGCGTTCCCTGGGCCTTCTGCCGGTAGGCTGAGCAAGAAATAGTTCCTCCCGTTTTCATTCCTAGTGGCATTCGCAACATATGCCCAAACCATCGCATGTGTGACTTCCAAATCTGAGGAAGCAGCGACTGTACACCAAGGATCTGGCGGAATTCTGTACGCCGCACTAAGTCGAGAGAAGCGTAAGGACAACGACTAATCTCACAAAGCCCATTTCAGCCGCTTACACCCCGGATGGAAGCTTTTCAGTCATGATTCACGACAAAAGACCGTAGGTAAGCAGGTGGATGACGATCGACTTGAATAACGAGAGCTTAGCCTTCAGACACAGATATGTTTTAATCACAACAGTTCGGACTAGTTCACGCAGAACGCCACTGGCTACTCCATTCGGCCGGTCGATTTCTTGGTCAAGTTTTCGATCACTAACAAGCACGACCCAGAGGTACTTGAACTTCTCCACCTCCTCCACTGCTTCTCCGTTTATCTGAAGAGAGCAACGGGCAGGTAAACGAGAAAGCACTAGGCTTTTCGTTTTAGATGCACTCATACGCATGCCGGCCACATCGCGCTCCGCTCAGATCGTTTCCCACATCACTTTCAGAAGAGGTCAATAAAATAAGGTCGTCTGAAAACAGCAACCTTTTCGTCTCCACATCTCCAACACCGGTACACTCATCGCCTTGGCTGCTCCTGACTATTCTGTCCATGTACAACAAAAACAGGAGAGCGGAGAGAACGCAGCCCTGACGGAGACCAGTGCGAACATTGAAGCGTTTCAACCTAACGCCATTGACTTTGACGCAACAGCTGCTATCGGCATACAGTGATTGGGCGGCCCGTAGCAACTGGCCATCTATCCCGTATGCTCGAAGGCATGACCACAGAAAGTGGCGTGGGATCCGGTCACAGGCCTTCTCTAGGTCAACAAAGCACATCTACACTGGATGGGAGAACTCCTATGATTTCTCAACAGTCTTGCGTGAGGTAAATATATTGTCAGAGATGCTTCGAACGGGCCGGAAGCAACACTCCTCTTCTTGTATCATGGAGTCAGGTACTCCGCGGCACCTCCTTTCTAGCATCTTTGCGTAGATAGTATCTAGGAGGCTCAATAACGTAATGCCCCTATAATTGGAACAATCCTTGTGGTCTCCCTTCTTGAATACGGGTATAATAACTCCCGTTCTCCGGTCCGCTGGCGTCTTCACCGTAGTCACTGCAGTTTGACAGACACGTGCATGCCAGAACATTCCTTGCTCCTCTGATGCTTTGAGCGTTTCAAGGCGGATTTTATCAATTCCAGCAGTCTTTCCATTTTTCCAGCATTTCACATTTTGCGTAAATTCATTCACGCAATATTCGTTCCCTGCTGCTCTACAGGCGAGTCTTCCTGCGGTTGCTTGGGGTTAAGAAGTTCCTCAAAGTACTCTCTCTATCGCCGAAGAATGTCGTTATCTTCGGTAACAAGGTGTAGTTCAAGACTCTTAGACTGTCCTTCTTTTCACCTCAGAGCCGGCGAATAGTCTGCCTCAACACCGACTACAACACCGCACCGAATTTCTCCCAAGAATCAGCGTTGGCTTTGGCCACTGCTTTCGCTGTCGCCTTTCGTACCTCGACATATCGCACGCGAGTAAAGGCTCTTTGTTTCCAACTCAGTTCGTGAACGCTGCCTTCTTCTCTTTAACTGCCAGTTGTACCTCTCGCGTCCACCAGGAAGATCTTTCCTGACCTTCAGGCGGCAGGCCAACCCGTTTTAATCCGCAGCATTCGGCGGCAGCCTCGAGTATGTCGCTCTTAAAGAGCTGTCACTCGGTTTCCACAGCACTGATCATTACCGGGATCTGTTTGAACCGCCGTGCAATGTTGTTTGCTAATTTCGCCCCCTTGTCCACCGAAGATAACGTTTCCCATTTGATTATCTGGTTGTTTCTGTCACCAGACCCTTGTATCGTACTCCATTTCTTGAAGCGTAGCGTACAAACAACAAGGTGGTAATCGATTGACCGCTCTGCTCCTGTGTTAACGCGAACATTCATTACAGAGCGTCGTAAACTAGACGATATGATGATCATATCGATCATGGACTTCAGTGGATAAGCTTCCCTGTACCAGGCTCGCTGATACACTCTTTGATGTTCGAAGAAGGTATTCATAATAGACAAAGCTTGTTTGAGTAAAACCATGGTAACTTGCGGCCGTTATTGCTGAGGTCGGTAAAGCCGTTCTTTCCAATCACGCCTTTTCACTATTCAACGTCTACTCCTACATGCGCATTAAAATCGCCCATGAGTATGAGAGACTCTGTATTCGGCACTTCGGACAGAGCACGCCATACTTCCTCAAGGAAGGTCTCATATACTCCTTCCAAATTGGGCGCACAGACCTGTACCAACACCTTTAGCCTGTTGTACCTTCAGTCGGAGGATTACCACCCTTCCGCTGACAGACTTCCAATCAATAATTCTATTGGCAAGGTTGGGTTCTACCAGAACGCCAGCACCGGCCTGAGCGCAAGTCGTGATATCGACGCCTGAATAGAATAGCTTCGATCCGCTGAGGTTCAGGAGTCCAGAGCCTTAGCGTTTCGTTGACGAGAGTCCAACAATATCGAGTTGGTACTTTATGGCTTCATCAACCAATTATTGTTCTTTTCCTCTGAGTGAGGATATGTTCCAATTTTCGACTTTAAGGTCCCACTGGTGGCGTCGTTTCCGTGGAACCTTTTCTGACGTGCTGTAATGGCATCGCGCTGTCTGCCTCCTCCGTTCAGAATGGGTAGCGACTCTGTTGCTGACTGGTATCTTCGCCGTCGTTCCGTCGGTCTTCTTCAGCCGTCGTTGTGCTGCTACGTCCCCGGCTGGCAGAGAGCAAAGAGCAAGTTCTGATCGCTGACTTTTTGCAGCCTGCCTCAGTCCCCCAACAGCCTGCGCGGCCCTTGGTAACCCGGGCGACGACCGAACCGGCATAATTTTCGATGATGTCAATACCATGAAGGGCAGGGGCTAAGTTTTACAGAGACTGCGCCATTTCGCCATGGTCTTCAACCGTCCTCCTTTCTTGGGATCGACAATGACGGAGTTAACTAGAAAAAATCTTTTCAGCCACTTGTATCTAATATATCAAGATTATGCAAAAAAATTCCTTTTGTTCATTTCTGATTATGATCGTCATCACAATTATACTTAAGTTGGTGTGGATTCAGAACAGCTGAGCAGTTAATCAGGACAAGTTCTAATAGATACTTTAGTCAGATTAAATAAGAAGCACTATTTATACTGACTTGATTTGAAAACTAGAAGCACATTTTAAAAAATGAGTTTTGGTTTACATGAATATCTGCGAAGAAAGTTACCCATACAAGTCATTATATCAGGTTACATAACGAAGTCGAATCGTTTCCTCAGTTCTAGAGGCTTAAGGGATGGGATTTTAGCAAACCAAGGGTCCATCAACTACGTGCAATGCGTGGATACAAAGCAGCTTTAATGTTGACCTCAATCATCATGCAGAGGGGTACAATAGCAATTTTTTGACAACCCGTAAACGTTATGCATTTTCGACAGAAACTAACGGAAAACATGTACTGGGTATCTCCTCTACTCAACGGTAGAGGACGACATGATATCACGCTATGAGCATACACCTGCAGTTAAATAACAAAAGCTATAAACACTACTTCGGTTTGTAGTCAGGCAACTATTCTGGTAAACAAAATTGCCTTACAAGGAATGTGAGGAGTGACTGAGAGTCAATCCAGCTAATTCCCTATATTACGGAGTTGATTCAATTATCTGTGGTTACCACAGTGCT